GTGTTTGTATGCATGACAGAGAGGATATAAATAACCTCCCTGCATTAAGGAAAATTGCCTCCTTGTTTCTAAGGAAGGAGGCATTGCAGGGATACTTCTCTCTGTGAAGAAAGCAGCTTTCCCCAATTGATCTGAAGGTCTCAAATATTGATATTTGTCAGTTCTTACTCTTAGCTTTTGTAACTTTCTAATTTGTACTGTGTTTACAGAGGAAAACAAATAGCAATCTGAATCCTCACATAATGAGGGTTTTTAAGAGAAGTTTTGGGATACAACTTCTAATTAATCTACTGAATTTATACGATGTTCTCATTATGCTTTCTGGAGAAAAAAGCATACCTCTCTGAGGGGAAAAGAACCATGGGGAGTTTTACTGTACAGAATGAGCTATGAATTGAGCACTGAGCGATGACTCATAGAATTGGGAAAATAATCTTCTCATATCAGTCAAGTATTCATCTGAAGGTAGACAAATTACGGGATCTAAGTGCTTTTTGAAAGTATATTTAAATAATTATTGTATATGCCAATGTAAGACAAAACCCAAGGACAGGCAGTACTAGACAGAGGGGTGCAGAATGAGCTCGTTGCCTATAGGTGGTCCAAGTCTAAGAGATTCAAATTCAAGTGTCATCTGCTATTCCTGCAGACAGATTCTGTTTTGAGTTGAACAGGAAGCCTGGACATTCAAAGTCAGAAATCAAAATACTCAGTCTGAAGTGTGAGACTGCTTCTTGAGATTTTTGCCAAATGCTGGACTTATTCTAGATCATCTGTGTGATGCAGTCAAAACCAGTTTCAGGGAAATACAGGAAATGCTACAACAACAGTAACTTGGAGATGCTTTCAGATGCCTCCCTGTATAAGCAGTCAAGACAGCACTACAAACAAGGATCCTGCCAGTCAAAGTACTGTACCTCATCTCAACTTTTCGACAAAAGCGACAGTAAAAAGCCAGACTAGGCAGTCTGAGCTGTACCTTGCCGACGCCGACTGTTGAGTTTCCTAAAGCAGGTGCCCTCCACAAGTCGATTGAGACGTTGTTGCTTGATCAGTTCTAAGATCTCAGGCTGAATCTTCTCTTTTAGTTCCCTTGGGAAGATATAACATAGGCACTTGTCAAATTCAATCAAAGACCATTCTCCTTCATCTGAGACAGAGTCTCACAAGATGTTTCTGCGATGTGTTTGAAGAGGACAACAGTCACAGACAAGACCAGGTCAGAATCTAGTCTGCTCCAGAATAAAGCCCTTTTTCTTGTAACAAAGAATGGCATTCAGGATATCTGTTGTAGACATCTCCCTGCTACAACATCAGTGTATGACTCAGGCAAACCACTTATTTGCTTCTTACTTTACTCATCTAAAAATAACACTTGCCATAACGCATGAACAAGGTTTTTCTGCGGCAAATAATGCTCTTTTATCATAGGAGCACTGTGAAGCTTATTTGAGGGTCTGTCACCTTTTGTGGCATGACCCTCTGATGGTATACTTCACTAGCACTATTATTTAGGACAACACAAGAAGGGTAAAACACATCTTGAAATAATGATAACAAACAGTGAGCAATGCCAATGAGCTAAATAAATGACCAGCACCATATGCTTGTTCTTAATCTCATGTAATTTGATTCTTTATTGGCAGAATTTGTGGAAGACTAATCCATGACTAAGGATTGCTTAAGGATCAAACTTTACCTGTGCCCAGAAGTGCAAAGACTCACAGTACATTTAGAAATAATGTCATATATTGTTCACAAAATCTATTTTCTACATCTTACTTTAGTAAGAGTTCAACATGTCAAGAACTAGGCAGAAAACACATGCACATAATATTTAATTTCTTACACTATCACATGGATTCACAGATGTCTGAATTCATCAGCTATATCCTCACTTAGATTCATTAAGAATACATAAAAGACAGGTTTAAACACCAACTCGACAGCAAGCCTTGTAAGATTAAAAAACTCCAACTGAATGTGTAGAGGATTTCTAAAATATGGAGTGTGTCAGAACCATAATTTTGCATTGCTGTGCAAATTAGGTAATACCAAAAATCATTCTGTCTGGCAGTATGTCCCAGCAATCATCATGAAAAGGAAGCTAAGCTGTGGTATGCCACAGAGATAACAAAAAATTGTCTCTTCTTGAAAACTTAGGAACACCAGTCTCTGCTGAATTCCACATTCATTTGGATCCTGTAACTTTGATCTGCCAGACCCCCACTGAAATCATTGTCAGGCTTCTGCTAGAAAGACTAGGCCTTTAAAATAAAATGCAATCTCTTCCCTAGGTGTTAGTGAAATGGTTGGAGTTCTCAATGCATAACCCATTGCATATTTACAAGCAGAGAAAATCTAGCTGGTCAAAAAATCAAGGAAGCATTGTAACTATAGAAACAGTCCACCTTTTGGAAATGTCTTTTAGGCCAATTTACAAGCACTGTTGTTTTCTCTTTGGGATCTAAGATATGAATATGTTAAATGGTTAAATACTGTGATTAAAAGAATTTTATGCTTGAATAAATATCTTGCCTTTGCTGAGCCGATGAGCTTCTCTATTCCTTAGGTAAAACCTGGGAGCAGGGGCTGAGGAGAACAGTGTTAAAACACAGTGTGGTTTACTCAGCAGTCCAGGTTGCAGACTAAATCTCCAGCTGGACAAATTTCAAACATTCAAGACTGGTATAAACATCAGTTTTATATAGTTGATGTATAGTTTAATTCACAAATTGGATGGTTATCACTAAATAGGTGTTAAATATATCATAACATAATAGTTGTAAGACATTACCAAAAAACCAGAAATGAGCAGGTCACCCAGCACATTGACATCTTGCTTGCTCATAGTATTCCCTCCGCTAGCCTCCAAAGCCCCATCTGCCCTTTATAAACCAGAAGAAGTGAAGGATTTTTTAACCAATCCAAAAAGAAATATGTAATCCTCTCTGAAGTATTTCACTGCCTAAGGCAGACTTCCCATAGGAGAAAGGAAGGTAGGTAAGAATGGACCTAATGCCTCTTTGCTTATGTGCTCATGTCCCTCTGCACACATGCACATATTTGCTCTCACAATCGTGAACCTCAGATATAGCACTCTCTTCTGGTTTATGGTCCTTGAACTTGATCACACAGAAGTTTGGGAGACAACTCATTACTCCATGGAGAACCAGTCTTTGGTGAATTTGGACATTAGTGACATCCCATAAGACCATCAAGCCCTTGCCATGGTCACCTGCGCTTGCTGTCCTCAGCAGCTCATGCCAATGTGTGATTACTCTGCCTTGTATGGTTTTCAGCTATTTTTCCTATACCATGACTCCAGATATAATTTTGCAAGGTGATCCTGCCACTTAGTGCTCCTCACTGTCAAGGTTTCTATTCCACCACTTCAAGGTGACAGAAATGGGGCAGAACAATGAAACCATGGCACGCACTCAAACAAAAGATGTGCTTCTTTGAATATCTGTATTTCCTTCAGAAAGTTATCTAAAGGCAAGTGTGTTCTGTTCCTCACGATCAGCGTCTAAAGACAGGAGGGTTAGAAAAAAAATCTTTGTGCTAGAAATAGGTCCTCCTGCCTAAATTTAAAATCAAATAGGAACAATGAGCTAAAGGAAGATCATGAATGCAAATATGTTTTGTGAATATTTATTTATTGTCCTTCAGATGACATTTGCTTAACAGTTTGTGCCTTGAGAAAAGAGAGAACAAACCAAGTCTAAGGAGACAGTGGCTTTAAAAACTGCTATTTCCTTGCTACTATGCTTCTGTCACATAAGAATGTCAAAAATTAGTGTGCTGCTAAGAGAGAAGGGTTGAGGGAACCACACAGTAATATATATGATAACTAATTTTATTATCTCACTGGTCTTGACACTGTAGGCAATACTGACATCAGTTACTTGCTCTTAAAATAAGACGTGAAAATCATCAGAAATTATTTTTAAATTATTCACATTACACTAATTCTTCTCCAGCACCAGGTATAACTGTCCCCAGATTTCACCTTTCCATCTTATAGTTAAGACTTGTTAGCTGTTTTCTTTCCAGGATGGTGCATATTACAGACATTTAAATCACTACAACACAACAGGAGAGTAATCCCAGAACTGGTTTCATGTGTTTTTATCTTTCTGGCTTGTAGCTATACTCCCTCTCCTAATCACTTTATGCATTCAGAGCAGGCAATAGTGACTCTTTCTAATGTTGCAGAGAAATAGGTAAGGTAAAAAGCAGAAAAGGATCCAGATCCCTTCCTCTACTTTCCTGTACATTGCTGATTTTCACACAGATGTTACTTAGCAATAGCTCCCTCATTGACATTAACTCTGCTTTAACCAGCAAGTCTCCAATTGGATGTCAGATCATTATCTAGCATTAACTCATCTCTGTTGCCATTTAATTTGTCAAGGAGATCTCTGGTCCTCTACAAGCCTATGGGATTCCTAAACACCTTCTTCTGCAGCCATTCAAAATGAACCAGCAATACTTGATCATTTCACTATGGAATGGCATTTTGGATGATCACTAAGGATCCCAAATCCTTGAATCAATTCTGAATGACTTTTTATTTTCCCTAATCAAAAGCAGATATTGAGAAAGCTTCACGTGATATGACAATGCTCATATAAAAGAAACAACTAATCCGTGCAAAACAAGGTTGCAGTTATAAGGATCTAAGGTAACACTTTCCAGCTTACATTCAAAACCATCTTTACTGAAACTTCTCTTATCCAGAAGCTTAAAACTTCAGTACTTCATACAATGAACAGCAGAAGAAAGATTTCTATCATGTTCAAGACAGAAAAAAACCATCATCTGATTGCCATATTCTCAAGCAGAATTAAACAAGGGCTGCCAACATCACAGTCACCATTGTGCACAGTCTCTTTTAGCATATCTGCAAGGCTTTAAAATATACAGTACAGCCACGATTGCTCTCTTCACTCACAATCTCTCTCCCTACAATGGGGCCATGATTCTGTACTTCTATCAATTGTGCCATCTATGCAATTTGAGAGAGTTCAGTACAGGGAATCAAATCAAAGCAGAAAATGAAAGAACTGTTTCTTTTCACAGTCAAGAATAAGTGATCATGGATGCAATCAAAATGCAAATGCGTGGAGTTAAATCTCTGCAAATGCAGTTGTGATTGCTTAAACACCTTATCGATTTACTTAGCCTTTATAGCCTTTAGGCTTAGCCTTTGTCCTGAATCTGAAATGAGTCTCTGGTAACACTTCAGTTGCTTTTAACTATTTGTGTTGGCTGTTTCCCCCATTCCATGATGGGGAAGGAGACTCCGCACTGTGACAGCAAGTAGCCAGAGGGACACCGGAAATAAAGAGCTTGCAGAGGGCACTGGCAAGTTTCATGAGGCTAGGCAATGGTGCAAGACAATATAAATAGTTGACCTGTATCATACTTAATCTGTTGACTCACAGGAAAGCAGGGAAAATGAGAAGCTTTGGTGACAAGCTTAGCAATACTGAGCAGCATTGAACCAATGAATGTTGCAGGGGTTTTCTGAGCAGTGTAATGATGCAAAACTAACTGCAACCATTTGTAGCTTCTTAATTGATGCATTACTATGAGTGACATCAGTTCTAATTGGGCATTAGGTCCTATTTTCTAACACACTGAAAACATAAAAGAAGCATTCCCCCTTTGATCCACATTGGTATGATTAGAATTTAGTCTGTAATTCTACTTAGCTTATGCTTCTGCTGTTGTCCTGCTGCCCCTGGAGGAAAGTGTCCCTAGAGCTTGTTATTTAGATATCTGCATCCTTTACAAACAAATCAAACTGAATATCCTCCTGGAATCCTGGAATCCTGGAATTCTCTGGTTTGAATCTGTCTCTATATTTTTGCCTTGGAACGTGAATCCTGGAATTCTCTGGTTCAAATCTGTCTCTATATTTTTGCCTTGGAAAAGGAGACTTAGAAAATCACAAGCCATTCCGCTTGCAACGCGGTCAGTATTTCATGCCATTTCAGCTGATGCTTCTGGAGTCCTCACCATTTCTCTGCTGATCTCAAAAGGTTCCTGCTATTCTCAGCACATCATTTGCGCACCACAGAGTCTGCATCTGTCCTGTGCCATCAGTTCAGCCACAAGCCCAGACTTGGTCCAGAGCCAAGTACAGCTTCCATTTTTCATTGAACAGAACAAAGAGTATTCTGAGAAACAAGCAGGAGCTATGAGGGCAATATTAGCGCTTGATACTTTGCAGTAAACAAGAAAATGACTGGCTAGCTGCCAGAATGTTATCATTTACAAATAAGTAACTGCTTGCCATTAACACCAAAGATAATGCTATAAACAAAGACACTGGTACACAACACCAGTCTTTTGTGAAACCAGTGTGGATTGGCTCCTCTTCTTCTGGGCTTCTCTCTTGCTCAGAGAAATGATATTTGGAATTTTTAAAGGCCTTTGGACAGAAGACAAAGTTGTGGGTTTTGATTAGTTGGATTTTTCTTAAAGCCACTACCAGCACCAAACCAAGCTCACTATCATGCATAACTAGGAAATATCAAAGCACTGCTTCATATAAACAAGTCATGTGAGACCAATGTTGGGATTTGCCAAATCTGGTTTCACTGAACTCAAAGAAAAATTTATGATTCCCAGTGGAAGAAAACATAATGTACTTCAAGCAGATGCTGCACTACTGCTTTTGAGCACAGCTCCCTGGACAGCTTTCCTCCCTGGGTTCCCCTTGAAGAGCTCACAAATGTCATTTGCACTTGTTAATCCTTCCATAAACAAGTGGGGAGAGAAGACAGTACTTACAGAATTGGACGAGACTGGAAATCTTCCTGGTTCATTCTTTCAGACTGGCGTATTTTCAGTATTTCTGTGTAACTGAGATTCTGAAGTTTGCTCTTGAATTGGTCCAGAGAGCTAGGCTTGGTAGTGAGCGCTCTCATTATCTGTTCTTTCACTACTTGCATTACCTGCAGACGACAAGGAAAGAAAAAGAAAACCTGTGTTAACACTTCCTGCATTTTTTTTCAAATCTTATTCTGGGTCACAGTCAGGTTTCTAGGTACAGAAGATGATTAATACTATGTGGTCTCAAGACAACTGTTCAGAAACATAACCAGAAAATAAGCCAACTTCTGACAGGGCATCACAGCCTACATCCAAAGCTCATCTGCTCTGTAAAAAGAAAATTATTTTTTCTGGAGGGTGGTGGGGAGGGTGTCACATATTGCTTGGCTGTCTCGTTAGACAGCTAAATTACACTTGCTGGTTACAGGACTGTAAGTCCCACTTTGTCCATGGTGTGTGTGCCCTTGGCAGCACAAGTGTGGTTCTTCAGCATTCTGAGCTGTGATGATGCTTCCATCATGTCAGGGACAGGCACACACAACACCAGCAGAAAAAAAGCTGTGAAGTCCTGACGAGCCAACTGAGAGCAGAGATGCACACCCTGACTTCTGCCAGCTCAACCCAGGTGAAATGCACAAGCCGCAGGAGTAAATCTAACTGTCCACAAGAGAGACTGGGGAGAGTGTTTCAGGTCTTACAGCTCTCCTGCTGGGTCTCAGAGCTGCTTTCCTGATCACAAGGCAGTAGCACAAAGATGCTAACTGGCACATTGCTTCCCTTATTCCTTATGCCCAGAGGCAATGGACACACACTGAAACACAGGAGGTTCCCCCTAAACATCAGGAAACACGTTTTAATTCTGAAGGTGACAAAGCACTGGCGCATGTTGCCCAGGGAGGTTATGGAGTCTCCATCCTTGGAGATACTCAAAAGTCATCTGGACATGGACCTAGGCAACTGGCTCTGGGTGGCCCTGCTTGAGCAGGATGGTTGTACCAGATGATTTCCAGAGGTACCTTCCAACCTCAGTCACACTGAGATTCTGTGAGAGCTTTATTCTGCAGCCACTTTATGGCCATACACAGGGAAGCGAAGAGACCTTGCTAAAAGAAAACATTAGTCAGGGAAAAGAGAGAGATCAATTTGCCAAGGATATTACAGGATTGCTTTTGAAGCAATGCCATAAACAATGCAAACCAAAAAAGTGAGAATGAAGGATGGCTAGGCAACAGCCATCTATCTGCATATTAATTATTTTATCAGGAGAAAACTGCTGAGACACAGTTAACTAAGGAGAATTGCTTGGATCTAGTTCAGATAAATAAATATCACAGATTACTGTCTGTCTCTCCACAATCCTAGACTCATTTCCTTGGTGCTGGTGCAAATCACACACTTTGAAATATTTATCTGATGCTGTGCATAAGTTGGCTGAAAAAACAATTTATCATAATTAGAAAGGTCCATCTCACCCAAATGCAACAGCTAAAACCCAGTAGGAAATGGTAACTCCCTCCTGGTATCAAACCAGGTATGACAGAAATCAACAGCTATACAGAGGGAAAAGCTTTTTCTGCGCTGTTAATTCTCCTTTTATTCTTTCATCTTCACCATGTATCTTAAAACAGAAGCTCAGCCCCTCAGAAGTTCCCTAATAATTCTAAAACCTTCTCTTTTCATATGAATATTTCATTTTTTCCCATGTCTTGTCAGTCTTCTAACTCATTGCCTGCAATGTTTTCTATTTTTGCTTCCTGAGGTGTAACTTCTTTCCCAGATGTGATCTAAGCACTCATTTTAGCT